GCGGCAGATCCTCCGCAGCCAGCCCTGTCCAGTCCGCGCGCGTCCTGCAGCCGCCCGCCACACGCACCGAGCATGAGGGAGATCGTGCACATCCAGGCCGGCCAGTGCGGCAACCAGATCGGGGCCAAGGTGAGGCCGCGCTCCGCCCCCATGCGCCGGGCCCCGCACCAGGCGCGCATCCCGCGTCCCCACCTCGAGCTGGCCCCCGGGGGGAGGGAGCAGGGAGGCATAGTGCTCCCCGAGCCGCACCCCGAGCCCCACTCGCCACTGCGAAGCAGAGAAAAAAAGGCCGGACTGGCCTAGCTGCGGGCGGCCGGAACGCCAGGATCCTCCCTGCCATTCCCACACCCGCCTTTCCTCCGCCCCTGACCGGGTTACCTCGGGCCTGCAGGAGCACAGCGCAAGTCAGCGGCTCCGCTCCATCCACCCGCAGCTGCAGTGGCAGATGTGGGCACCGGCTGGGCGTGGCCCTCTTCTCTGGGGTCGCAACTCAGCCTCGAGTGAGATGGGTGGGGTGGGCAGGTTTGGGTAATGCTCCCCGCCAAAGCGGTAATGATTCCCTCTGCCCCCCACCCCAGGAACAGGATGTCCTCCAAGTGACCAGAGGCGCCCCCATACCCCCACCTAGCTTTGACAACCCTCAGCTTCCTGGCCCCACCCTATTCCTTTGTTGGAAGAGGGGTTGGGCCCGGACTCAGGATGACCTTGGTCCAGGACTGGACTCTCCCTCAGCACAGTCCCACCTGGGCAACCCCCGAACCTAGCCGGGGGAGTGGACCAAGCCCGCTCAGGGACCTTCTCAGGGTTGGACGTGAGAACAAAGCCGGGCTAGGGGTGGGTAGGGTGGAGAGCTATGGAACCGCTAGGCCCCTCCTCTCCATTGTTAGCCCACCTCACAGATGTTGGGACTGAGATGAGAAGGGGACGGCGTTATCCGCACCCTTCCCCAGCAGGCAGGTGTCACATCCCTAAGTCGGGATGCTGTCCCGGGCCCAAGGTCACAAAGGAAGTGCAAGACAGAGCCTCCTGCCCTCTAGCTTTCATTCCCTGCAGATGCCCAGCCCAGGGCTCAGGCTGGATGGGTGGGGCCTGCTGCCCCCTGTGTTCTCCTCAGAACAATGTGGGGGGAGGGGATGGCTTTGTCAGCACCAAGGCTAGGGACCCAGCGCGGGATGGTGTCGAGCTGGTTCCCCAAGGAAGCAGTGGGAGGAGACAGGTCCTGGAGGGGAAGGGGCCAGGAAAGGCTTCCTCTGGAGGCTGTTGCCATGGAAACCAGGCAAGAACAAAAAGAAGCTAATTACAACTGGGCTGGGGCAGCCGCGTGGCTGACATGTAAATTGCAACTTGGGCTCTAGGGTAGAGGCGCCTCAGATGGGGGAGAAGGCATAGTGGGGAGACGCCCTAATCACCGAGGAGACAGCTGTTCCTGCCCGAGGAAGGGGGCGGGGGGAGGGAGAGGCCTGGAACACCAAGGCCTCAAATTAAATCAGGGCTCTGGGGGCAGTCTCTGACAGCTGCCCTGGCCAAGCAGAAGGGGCCAAGGACTCATTAATGTGGTCATAGAGGCCAGGCCTGCCCCGAACATCTGCTCCTTCAAGGGTCAGGGGACACCGGAGGGAAGGAAGGCAGCCTGAGTCCCACTTGAGCCTGAGGGAGTGGAGATCCAGTTAAGCCTCAGTTTCTCTGGCTGGGACAGGCACATGTCAGGCAAAAGCAGGCTCGTGCCCCAAGCTGCAGCCCGGGAGTGTGGGGCAGGGCAGAGGCAGCAGCCCAAGTGCTGGACAGTGTCCTCTGCAGACATTTTTCCTTCTTCTCAGTACTGTGGCCCTTGGGATTGCTTATTACTTTTTATTTGTTTTGTGTTAATTTCCTTAACTTATATTTGTTTTTAAGACGAATATCTGATCCCTTTTAACAATTCAAATGAGAGGAAGGTGGATTTTGTGAAAAGGGGAATCGTTCCTTCCTATTCAACCACTGCCCTTTGAGTGGTTTCCTTCCGGCCTCCCTGCCCTGGAAAATCTCCAGAACCGAACTGCAAGTACTCAAAGCTGGTGTGGGAAATTTGCCTGCGAGGCCCTAAGCACCTGTCCTGTGGACAGGCCGTTTCTGGGTCATTTCTATTTCCTGCTCACATACTGACAGTGGGCTCCCTGGTGGGGGAAAGGAAAGTTCTATTCAGCACCACCAGCAGCTGACTCGGGTGGGCAAGGGGGGCTGCTTTCCTGCTTGAGGGTGGGCCGCCCGCTCTGGGGAGGGGCCTGGCTGTCAGGAGGGGTGATGGATCGGGGCTAGGAGAGGACACGCCTCTCCCAAGGGGCGACATGACAGCATTAGCAACTCCTGACAATGAGCATTAATGTTGGGTGTTGTGCCAGGTGCATTGAGAGCTTCACCTCACAAGGGTGTGGTGCGGTGAGGCTGGGTGTTGCCCTTCCCCCAAGGATAAGAGAACTCGATGATCGGGGAAGTTGGGGCACCTGCCCAGGAGGGACAGGGCAGGAATTTGAGTCTGGGCCTTTGTGGCTACATCAAGAGTGAGCGGGGGAACCTCACGACCCCCACAACGGGGAGTGAGTCCGAGACCCCTCACTCCTCCCCTAGGGGAGCAGGGTGGTCCTGGAGCCTTTGTCTGCGCCCCCCACCTCGGCCACTGGGCAGGGCCTCAGAGGGGCGGTCCCTGGCCCTGAGCCAATGGGAGAAGGGATTTCCCAGTTTGGAGGCCCCGCCCCCTCTCCCAGCATCTCCCAGCTGGATCCCGAGGGGCGCTCGCTGTGCGCGGTGCAGGGAGAGGCATGAGGTCCTGGAGGAGCTTAAGGGTCCGCAGTCTGCCAGCCCTCCCTCGGGGGAGAGGCCGCACCCTACTTGCCTCAGGCTCCTGTGCGCCCACACCCCCAGCCCGGGCGTGACAAAAGGTCAGCACCACGGACAGCGCCGCGGCGCAGGGGCTGAAGTGGTCGCCGTGGCCTGGACCCTGGCGTCCACGCGTCATCTGGCTGTTTTCTCATCTGTAGTGATAGTCATAATTATTATTTAACTTATAAAATTGTACTTTGTCATTTACTACATGCTTATTTTTAATTTTTTGTTTGTTTTTTGTTTATTTGAGGGGAGTAATTAGGTTTACTTACTTATTCATTTTTTGGAGGAGGTATTGGGGATTGAACCCAGGACCTCATGCATGCTAAGCATGTGCTCTACCACGTGAGCTATACCCTCCCCCCATTACCTGCTTATATTATATTCTATTAAGATGTTTATTTTACATTATAATTTGCATTAGTTTAAACTACAAAAGCGATTATTAATACATTCTCCTTCTGCAAAGTTGAAACATTGAAGATAAGGCTAAAGTGCCCACCTCGCCACCTCACCCCTTTAGCTCCCCTTCTCCAGGTGGGACTAGTCGGTTTTCCATTCTTCGCGTCCATTTTCTGTGCATATGACCTACATATAAAAAAAATAGCAACTGCTGCGAGGTTCTCATTTTTACGCTGTGTGTCATTGCAGCATGCCTTTTCCCTCAAGGACGTGCCTTGCAGATGATCATTTATTGTGCCACAGTAATCTAAAGTATGTGGATTTTTAAATTACCTTTTATTTTTATTTTAGTGAATATGGCTTTACAAATTTAAATAGCATCTAAGGCCTTTTGACTCAGTGAGGCCAGCATTTGCTGAGTGCTTTTGTGTGTCAGGCTTTGAGCTGACCACTTGAAGGGCGTACCATCATCACGGCCACTTTACAGATGAGAAAACAGAGGTCCCAAGAGGCAGAGTCACTGGCTAGTGCTGGGGTCTGCACCCACTCCAGTCCTTTGTCTTCTGGAAGCCTTTGCAGTCCACAGATGGTTTCCAGAGAACTTTCCATAGATGCATTGATGGCACAGTGACTGAGTCACTGTCTTCTGGCTCCACACTTGCCATCTCCAGCTCACCCCTCCTCTACAGGGGCCGTGGGTGTCCCTGAAGCTAGAGGTTTGGGGTGTCCAAGGGCTGTGGGGCCCAGGCCCCCAGCTCAGGCTCTCAGACAGCCTCAGGGAGGAGGAGGACACAGGGAGACAGCAGAGGAAGGAAGTTCTGATTAGGCCCTGAATTTACAAAGTTAATTCACACTTAAGGCAAACAAAAAAAGAAAGAAAGAAAAGGGAGGAAGGGAGGGAGGGAGAAAAAGAAAACTTATCAATGATAAAAACACATACAGGAGGAAGAAGTCCATCCCTCCACTCTCACCAGGAGCTGACCTTCAGTAACAGTCTTCCTGGATGAACTGCCAAGATTCTTTCGTGCATTTTATAATAATGACACTGTTCATACTTCTCAGGTTTAAGTTTTTAAAAATTTCTAACTAATCTTTTTTTCTTTTGAGAGGTTAGTAACAACTGCGCATGACAAAATTTCCAAAAACAAACAAACAAACAAACAAAACCCCCAAAGGATGTGCAGTGCGAAAGTCTCTCCCACGACGTAGGACCACACCCTCAGGCACAGCTGCCAGGAGCAGACTTTCATGTGTCAGAGACATCTATACATAGACAAGCACATGAAGACTGTTTTCTGACTGCTTTTTTCATGGAACAGTCTTTTCACCAGCACGTGGCTCATACACAGAAGCCCCTTGCTACTTGAGGCCTTCATACCCATTCGTCTGAAAGTCACCCTAACCCTGAGGGGCCAAGGGGAGGGGCACTAGGAACTCACAGAGTGTGTGACCACTGCTGCACGGGCAAACTGTGCTCCAAGACAACCTGGAAGTGCCCCTGGGGTGAGTGTGGAGTGCTCTGCAGCCTTCCCTTCCCCCAGGGTCTGTCTCTGCATGCAACATGTGTGCTAATGATTGACCCAGCACCCAGTAGCCACCACACACTGTTCACATGCTTTGCACAGTGTAACTTGCTTTATTCTCATAACAACCTGCCTTCATCATCAAGCCCTCTGAACAGGTGAGGACACTGAGACACAGAGAGTATTCTGGACCAGCCCAAGGTCATGCAGCTGGGAAGGGGTGGTCCACCTCCTGAGGCTGGGCCCTGCTCTGTGCTGCCCTGCCCTGCTGCAGTCCTGGGAGAAGCACCATGATTCCCTGCCCACAAGGAGCAGGGCAGGGGGCAGCGGGGAGAGTAAGCCCTCGCTTTGGGGCTGCACCCTCTCTGCTTGGCAGGCTGGGTGAGCCCAGGCATGTCACCTCCCACTCAGGGCCCCTGCGGTTCCTGTTGGCCACTGGCATGCTGGACACTGCCAGGCCCTGCCGCTGGATGTCCTTCTGCAGACACTGAGGTGCACACGTGCTCTGGGCCCCGACTCCGTCTCTTACTGTGGGCATCTCCACGTTCTCTGTACCTCAGCTCTCTCATCTGAAAAGAGGAAATTTAAAAAAAACAAACAAAAAACACCCCCAAAGGGTGTTTATTACGAGTTCCTCATGGAGAAGTGGCCTGTCCAAAGTCCCCGCTCGGCCAGTGCAGAGCTGGGTCTCAGGGCCCTGACCACCCTGAGGGCTTTGGTCACCATGGACGTGCATATTGATTATGGCAGTTTTCTTACAGGTGGCAGAACCTGGAGCTCTTTTGTGAAGTCACTCAAAGGGGCCAGTACAGGCTTTTGCGTCCAAACCCCTCATTGTGTACTTCAGGGCTTCAGGGTACGGGAGGGAAAGGGCCTGGCAGGGGTCATGACCACCTCCTGATCCTGCTGTCCCCCCTGCAGTTCTGGGAGGTCATCAGCGATGAGCATGGCATAGACCCCAGTGGCAACTATGTGGGGGACTCGGACCTGCAGCTGGAGCGCATCAGCGTCTACTACAACGAAGCCTCTTGTGAGCCCCTACCCTTGACGGGGCTGGGGTGGGCTACCTCAGCCGCTGGGCCCCAGCACCTCTGCCCCCTACTGGGGGGCTGGTAGGTGTAGCCTGAGACTCACAGAAGACAGACAAGGAGTCCTAGTAACTGCCACCCTAGTGGGGTTCACGTGTACTCAATGGCCACAAGACACATGCTGTGGCAGGGAATGGGTAGGGCCGGGCTCAGGAGGCGCATGAGAGGATCCAGAGCAAGGTCGCCTGGAGAGGTCGGGCGGGGCCTATCCAGCAACTGGTATAAAATGGTGCCCTTAGTGAACTTGCAGAATATTGACCTGCCCACATGGATGTGAGATTTGTCCTGCTCGTACAGGTGTTAACCATGACCCCCTTTCACACGTGGTTCCAGCCTCTCTGACCACAGAGTCTGAGCTCCTAGGGTGAGAGCAGGAGGTTGGTAGGCTGGGGCAGGATGTAGGGGCAGGAGGAGTGCCTCACCTCTGCCACCCACATAACCCACCCTCTTCCGTCAGCTCACAAGTATGTGCCTCGGGCCATCCTGGTGGACCTGGAGCCAGGAACCATGGACAGCGTTCGGTCTGGAGCCTTCGGGCACCTCTTCAGGCCTGACAACTTCATCTTTGGTAAGTTCTCCCTGTCCCACTGTCATGGTGGACCCCACTGCATGCAGAAACAAGGACAGAGTCACCCCCAGCCATGTCCCTGCCGGATAGGACTGATCCTCTCGACTTGCAGCTGGTGACAGAGTCCCAGAGAAAGGATTCTGTTCTGGGAACAGAAACCACTGGTGATTCCAAGCAGAGCAATGTGAAACAGAGACTTGAGGTTCCAGGATCCTTAGACAGCTGAGGGGGCAGAAGCCAGGGGCCCCAGAGGACTCCAGTTCATGTGCATGTGGCGTTGCTCTTATCAGGAGGTCAGGGAGTCCTCACGCCCTTGACTCCAGTGGCAAGGCCTGGGTGCTCACACAGTGACAGGAGGAGGCCTCACCCAGCTTCCACCTGCCAGAGCTCAGCACCCCAACTTGTGGGCACAGCCCTCATCCCAATCCTGAGCTGCAAGGGATTCTGGGGGTTATAGTTTGTGCTTCCAGCACAGCCAGCCAGAGGGTGAGTGGACTGGAGTGGAGGGCTGATCAACTCCTCCAGGACCCCCTCGTGAGGCAGAGCAGGAACTACAACTCCAGGTGCTTCTGTCCAGATCCCATGACCCTGGTCTCCAGGCAGTGGCAGCCCCAACACACAGCATGGCTGGTGCTGAGTCATGGAGCGGGTAGAAAGTGCAGGCAGCCCTACTTCACAGAGGGCAGCAGGCATAGGGCTGCTTCCACAGTTGCCCTCCAGGGTGGGATGTTCAGGCAGGCGCTGGTGGTCTCACCCTGTCTATGTCCCCATGACCCCATACAGGTCAGAGTGGGGCTGGAAACAACTGGGCCAAGGGCCACTACACAGAAGGCGCTGAGCTGGTGGACTCGGTCCTGGATGTGGTGCGGAAAGAGTGTGAGAATTGCGACTGCCTGCAGGGCTTCCAGCTGACCCACTCACTGGGTGGGGGCACGGGCTCAGGCATGGGCACACTGCTCATCAGCAAGGTCCGCGAGGAGTACCCTGACCGCATCATGAACACCTTCAGTGTGGTGCCCTCGCCCAAGGTGTCGGACACGGTGGTGGAGCCCTACAATGCCACGCTGTCCATCCACCAGCTGGTGGAGAACACGGATGAGACCTACTGCATCGACAACGAGGCGCTGTACGACATCTGCTTCCGCACCCTCAAGCTGGCCACCCCCACCTACGGGGACCTCAACCACCTGGTGTCGGCCACCATGAGCGGCGTCACCACCTCCCTCCGCTTCCCGGGCCAGCTCAACGCCGACCTGCGCAAGCTGGCCGTGAACATGGTGCCCTTCCCCCGCCTGCACTTCTTCATGCCCGGCTTTGCCCCGCTTACCGCCCGGGGCAGCCAGCAGTACCGCGCGCTGACGGTGCCCGAGCTCACCCAGCAGATGTTCGACGCCAAGAACATGATGGCTGCCTGCGACCCGCGCCACGGCCGGTACCTGACCGTGGCCACCGTCTTCCGAGGGCGCATGTCCATGAAGGAGGTCGATGAACAGATGCTGGCCATCCAGAGCAAGAACAGCAGCTACTTCGTGGAGTGGATCCCCAACAATGTGAAGGTGGCCGTGTGTGACATCCCGCCCCGCGGGCTCAAGATGTCCTCCACCTTCATCGGCAATAGCACGGCCATCCAGGAGCTGTTCAAGCGCATCTCTGAGCAGTTCACAGCCATGTTCCGGCGCAAGGCCTTCCTGCACTGGTACACAGGCGAGGGCATGGACGAGATGGAGTTCACCGAAGCGGAGAGCAACATGAACGACCTGGTGTCCGAGTACCAGCAGTACCAGGATGCCACGGCCGAGGAGGAGGGAGAGATGTATGAAGACGATGAGGAAGAATCCGAGGCCCAGGGCCCCAAGTGAAGCAGCTGGAGGGGTGGGACATGGCCGCGGCCAGGACCAAGAGGTCTGTCCCCAGAGCCATGAAGCCACTGACACCCCCCCACCCTCACCCCCACCAGGTCCAGTCGCGTCACCCTAGGGCTCCCGAGTGTTCGTCCTTCAGTATTTACAGCATCCCCGCCCTGCGTGAGTCCACTTGGCTCAGTCTTCTGCCATAGGTCATTTCCATTTTTGTGTGACCCGTTTGTCTCTCTGCTTTACTGTCAGCTCCAGGCCTGATGTTTTATGGCTTTTTCCTTTCGACTGGTTTGTGTTTATATTTTGGGGGGATACTTAATAAATTTATTGCTGTCAGACACCCTTGCCTGGTGCTGGAGATTTCTTCTTGTTCTGGAAAGTTGGGGCCAGAGGGGTGAAAAAGGGCAGACAGGGAGGCCCAGTGGAGGTAGGGGGGAAGGCCAAGTGTCATTGTCTCCCAGGTGGGGCTGGGACAGGCGCAGCCCCTGGGGAGCGCCTGGAAGTGGTGTTGGAGAAGGGATGGGCACCATTCCAGAATCTCAAATGTGCTCTCAGGTGACCTGGGGACAATCCCTAGTTCCCTCCAGGGTGACTCACACTATAGGACTCTCCTCTGGCTTGTCCGTGTGCTGGCTGTTAGAGGCAGGCAGCCCAAGACCCAGTGGGAGGTAGGAAGGGGGGACCTTGGGAACTTCCCCTGAAAAATGTTCTGTATCTGAGGGTTGGGGCTTCAGCCCTGGGGAAGGGCTGGCGGGTGCAGCAAGTTACAGCCACAGCCCCAGGAGCAGGCTGGGCTCGGAGGAATGGTCTGTCTCCTGCGCCCCCTGGTGGTCATTTCCTGTGTCTGCAATGAGCCTGGTGTCCAGCTGGAAGGGGCTCACCTGGCTTCCCCTCTCCTCCTACGAGGAAAGAAGTGGGTTCCCAGAGAGGCGCTGGCTGCCTGGGGCCCATGTGAGCCTTCGCAGAGCTGGGTGGGCCCAGACCCTCTCCACCAGCCTCCCCACATGCACCCCACTCCTCGAAGCCCCTGGGTCTCATCAAACCCAGCTCCCACTGGGACATAAAAGCACCCCTGCACCTCTGTGTGGATACCTGTGCAGAAGGGAGGTTGATGGGGCTGATCTAGACCAGGGAACTGAAGCTCTGAGAGGCTCACATCCCAGGCTCTGGTCCCGATGCATTCCGAGTCCACCAGGAGCTGGTCCCGGGCCAGCTCTAAGCCTACCACACCTGCTACACTCACCCACCTCGCACAGGAGGTGACCACGCTACAGTGTGTGTGACTGTTGTGGGTGGGGGTTTGAGTCCCGTGCTGGTCCCTTCCCACTGTATAATGAAGGCCCCGACCCCACATCCACAGGGGCCTCACAAGGCTGCTGCCTCCACACATTTGGGAGGGGGAAGAGGTGTCTGCAGCTCAGGTTCTCAGATGGCTCTGGGACCCCAAAAGAGGTGAGATGCCCATGAGTGTCCATGCTGGCCCTGGGTCCATGGTCTTACGGTCTTACCCGGCCTCTCCTGAGAGCTCAAGATATGGACCTCATTTAACCTTTACAAGGAGGTCACAAGGTTCCCAGGCAAAGCAACAAGTCTCAAAGAACTGAGGTGTCTGCCTGTTGGCAGAGCTGAGCCAATGTCCGGCCCTCTGTATATCTTTTTTTTGCTTAAAGAGACCCCAAATCACATTTCCTTCCTAAGCACCTACATCCGTGAGAACTTTGTCCTACCTCACATTACTCAGATGAAGCTGGTCTCCTTGGGCCATCCTGGCTTCCCCCCTAGACCACAACCCAGCCCCAGCACTAACGTGCAGTGCAGACAGTGCTGGCAGGGGTCTGGGGAGGCAGCTAGCACGTCCAGCCCCAAGGACATCTCTGCTGTTCCCCAGAGTTCCTCTCCGCGTGAGGGGCCCCACTCCTTCTTTCTCCAGCCCTCCCTCCCCTCCTGACGCCGGTCCTCCCCTGATGGGGGCCTCTAGCTCCCTTTCTCACGGGGGGGCAGTTTAGTTCTCCTGTCTTCCTCAGTCACGTCCTCACTCCTTACCCCTGCACGGCAGACAGGCCCTGGGCTCTGAGTGAACTCCCAGCCCATGGCACCCCTGCGCATGAAGAATGGCTGTGCTTTGTGTCCCCGCACACCAGAGTGGGTTGTCACACACACCCGGAAGCAGGAACACATGGAAAGCGGCTAACAGCGTGTGGCACACGGCAGGAGCCCACAGTGTTAGCTCTTGCATGTCTGTTATCATCACTGCGGGGGCTTTGTCTGCAGGGGTGCGTGGGCTCTAGGGGGCAGAAGAAGACAACTTAAGAGCCAGTCAGTCTCAAACGAAACGCCCAGAAGGGCTCAGAATGGCCCTGCGCCGTCAAGGACCGCGCTGGCCCCTTTGCCCTAAGGCCCACCTGTCCCTTTCAGGCTGGATGAAGAGCCATGGGTGTCCAGACCAGGCACACCCAGGCACCACCCTGCACCCTCTGCCTGGTGGGTACTTGGGGTGCTCAGGGGCCAGGAGGAGGCCTCACTCTCGGGGGTACGGCTGCCAGAGCCAACACAGGATGCCCAGTCACACTGGAATTTCAGGTAAAGAATGGGCAACATACCACGTGGGGGCATGTTTATACCGAGCACTTATTCCTCAGTTACGAAGTCTGGTAATCCTAGACTGGGGCACCCAGCAGCTGCGCAGCTGGGCCTGTCCTGGGAGCCAGGCATCCCAGGTGCCTCTCCATACTGAGCTCTTCATCCAGCAGGTTACATGTCAGGACAAACTTGTGAGGCAGATGTTTACAGATGAAGAAACCGAGGCTTGGAGACAGACCCCGCCGCAAGGGGCAGGGCCACAGTCTGAATGGAGGAAATGGGAACTGAGTCATCAAGGTTCCCACCTCCCCTGGGGACAATGACAGCCTGAGAAGGGGGACAAGGAGTGTCGAATGGAGATGACCTTCACCTCTGCCCCTAAATATGTGACAGGTCACTTCCCCTCTCTAGGGCACATTCCCCAGCTGCAAAGAACATGTCCCACTTGTGTTTCGGGAGTCAGAATTCCAGATAGATTCATTTGAAAGAAGACTGCTGATCTTCAAGTTCTTTGAAAGCTACTTGCTCAGATAATAATAAATGAGAGAGGACACAGATTGAATGCAGATGAAGCCCAGCCTGCAGAGGTCACCAGGGGCAGGTGTCACTGCCAGCACAGGTGTGAGGTGGGGTAGGGTCCTGGGGAGCAGAGGGTGAGCCAGGGCTGCATGGGTTTGGGGGAAGGGTGGAGTCAGGCAGAGCTAAAGTTAATCAGGTCCCTGTGGCCTGGATGTGGTGACATCCACCCCAGATCAGGACTTGGGGGCTAACCAGCATTCCATTTCCCGGGGAGCTGCAGGATTAAAGTAGATGTGGACGTTTGAGTGGAAACCCTCTACTGAAGCCCCCACCTGGGCTTCCCTGGTCCAAGTGACCACGTGACCCAGATGCTCCAGGCAGGGGCCCGGGGCGGGACGCGCAGACTCCGGCCGGCGTGTCGTGAGCCTCCCAGCCGCAGGTGGCAGCAGCGGGTGGCAGCGGAGACTCCGCAGCGAGGGCGGCGGGGCGGATACAACGTAGCGAGGTGGGCAATGGATACAATGTAGCGAGGGCAGCGCCAGGTGAGCTGCGGACGGTGGAGCGCGGGTGACTTGGGGAGCAGCGGGGTTCTGGGTGGAGGGAACGGGAACGCTCAGCCCTGGAGCTCACTCGACCCGCCACGCCCGGAGCTCGGGGAGCCTCCTCTCCTGACGCGGACACCGGGGAGCAGGGGTGAGGGATCCATTCAAGGCTCCGGCCCTGGCGCAAAGCAGGATTCAGACCCACTGGATTCCTTACCCGGGCTCAGAGCTGCACCGCACCCCGTTCGGACAGGGTTTAGCTGGGAGTTGGCCCCCTTCAGATGACACTGTCACCGTTTCCGGCCGTCAACTGTCTGTGGGATCCATGAGGCCTGAGGGGACACCCATGGCCGTCCCATCCTGAGCTGGTGCTGGGCTACTTGGCCTGTCTCCTCATCTATGAAATGGGTGGACATGGTGCAAGGGACCTGCCCCCGTGCGGAGCCAGTTAGCAAGGGTCCCCAGAGTGTATGATGTTGTTGTTGTGGGTGAAGCTGGAGGAGGTCGGTTTTGGGGCGGCTCCTCCCTGAGGCGGGGGTGGACACGCTGCTAGGCTTCAGTGGCAAACAACCCCCCTTTAAGGGACAGTATACACTGCCTTGCTCCCTGCGGGTCTCAGCAGGCCTCCCTCCAGGTATGAGCTGACAGGATGTACCTTCTCCCCAGCGCTCTCCAGGGAGAAGTCTAGGGGCCTCTGGTGGCAGCTGGGGTGATGGCAGGACCTCTTGGTGGCCACAGAACATGGGAGAACATGGAGGCAGAACACGGGAGGTTGGTTCGAGCACAGCTGAGCTTCAATCCAATGTCCCTTCATGTGCTGGGAGCTTTATTCTGGGGTTGCCTTTCATTGCTAAGTGCAGTCCTTGTCCCTGTGCTAGGAGGTCTCCAGAGGAGTCAGACAGTGGAAGAGTGGGTTTCCTCCATTCCCCTCACTTTGCACCTTCTTGCCTGCTCCTCTCTGAGGCCAAGCCTGAACTCTGGGTGCAGGGCCCTCTGTGGGCTGAGCCTGGTGGGGTGGTGAAGGTTGCTGGTGCTCTCCTCAAAGTCAGCTGCTGCAGGCTGCACCTGCTGGTCCCAGGTGTTAGGACAGCATCTGCCTGCCCTCAGAAGCCCTAAAGGAAATTCTCCAACTTGGCAGGAGAGAAACTGAGGCTGGGAGAGGTCAAGTGACCCCATTCGTTCACTCATCCATGGCCTCTATGCCAGGCCTGGGACTGGCACTGCCCACCAGGAAGTTAATGAGAGGTGCTGCTACCAAGGGAACTTATGGGCCAGAGGAGAGCTGCTGGGAAGAGCAGAGGTGTTCTGCCTTCAAGCACCTCTGGCCGTGTTGTAAACCGCTGGAATGTTTCATGGGAGAAACCCCTGGCGGTGGCTCCTGTACCCTCCAGTCTCGTGGGGTTGGGCTGATCATCACGTGATGTCAGAGACAGTTTGCTCTGCAGCAACTGTGAGTCACAGGCTTCACCGCCACATACAAGCGCTTGGTCCCTCCACCTGCTCCAGGAGGTAGACATTCCCCTTTTCCTATAGGCAAGGAAATGGAGTCATGTAGCTCGTCACTGGGAGAGGCAGAATTAAATCAGGGCTGTCTGATTCTTAGTAGTAACAATGATAACGGTAAGTTGCAGCTGATACTTACTTCTGTCCAGGGTACTCAGAACTTTGTGTTAACCCTGTGCAGCAGGAACTATTATCATCCCTATTTGAAACACGAGAACTCAAATGCAAAAAAAGCTTTAGGCGTTTGCCCAAGGTCACACAACTAGGAGCTGACGGAGCTGGGAGTTGAATAGGGCCAATTTGTCTTATTACCACAAGGCTTTTGGGGTGATTGTTTAGATGGCTAGAGACAGAAATCCTCCTCCCAATAACAGTAGTTTAAACAGAAGTTTATTTCTGTCTCACTTAAATTAAGCCTGGAGTGAGCAGCTCAGGGCTTCTGTTGCAGCCCAAAGTGGCTGCTCCAGCTCCACCCGTTACATCTGCATCCCACACAGCAAGAGGCAGGAAGAGCTGAACAGGGGCAGTCCCTCCTTTTAAGAACAATTACCAGGAGTCTCGAGATCTTTCTGTTCACATGCTATTGGTCAGAACATAGTCATATGACCACATCTAGCTACAGGGAGGCTGGGAAATCAAATGATGAGTAGAGAATCACAGTTCCCCACTGTCAGAGAAAAGCCAGACCTGGTCAGTCATTAAAGCAGTGGAAACAGATTTTATTGCAATAGGAGAAATGAGACTGGTATAGAACTGAGCTCAGCTCCAAATACAGCATCGGCAAATGGGGATTTATTTACAGCCAAGAAGCAAGTGGGGTCAGTGGATGGACAATGACTAAGAGGAAACATAAAGGGCCAGAGGAGGGATTCTGGCTAAACTGGCCTAACAGGATCTTTGTGATCAGACATCACCTGGGAGATGCTGGGGTGGGAGCGTGAGGAACACGGTCAGATATGAGGGTGATCAGATGTCACGGTGGGGGCTTAGCAGAGTTCTTGCTAAAACTGGGTTTTATAGGAAGTGCACCGATGGGCCAGGAGAAGGTTTGGGACCTGACTACAGCCTGGTGAGCGAAGAGTCTTTGTCACCACTTGGGAAGAAGGGGTTAGTGAACATGGGGACAGCTGGATCTCTCCGTACTCCGGGTGATTCCTGGGACACGGTGGCCCCGACACCTGGGGGGTGTTGGGCCCTCTCTGTGAGCTGCCGAGAGGCATCACGTGATAAGAGAGGGGACTGAGCCCATGGCCCCTGTGTCCTCTTTTGTTTTGACCAGGAGCATTCAGTCAATGGGTACTAGGTTCTACCAGACTGGACCTGCCAACCCACATCCCCACCACAGGAAAAAGAGAGGTAGGATGGGGCCCACAGGTGATATGGGAGTGCCTGCCCAGGTGCAGGTGGCACTTGAGGGGTGGGTGTGGGGTGACATTGAGCAGGGCCTTCCCCTCTGTTTCAGTTCCCCTTCTTTGGGGAGGGGCAGATAGGCATCATGGGATTGCCTTTTACAAATACAAAGTATTTCAGACTGTAACCAGGTGTAGGGGAAGTAACTAACACCTGTGCACTCAGTACAAAGGTTTTAAAAACGTATGTCCAACCTCCTATGAGAGATGCTAAGGAATGTGGCTCACCTAGTGATGTAGGGGGACCTGGGTGGCAGACTCCATCAAAGCCCCTTCCTTCCCAGAGCCATCAGCCCTGTGTGTCTGCCGTTTGCTGAGCTCTGGGCAGGGAAAGCAGGGCTGGGCTGTGGACCAGGTACTTCTGCCTGTTTCCTGAGCTCGTAAGCTGTGAGGCCACGCACTGGCTCAGGCCATGTGAGGCGTCAGTGGAAGCCCAGGCCAAGGAAGTGCTGGCCTGGCCACACTGTGACAAAATAGCTTCCAGGGGCCTTCTCCATGGGGCATGAGGACGTGGCCCTGCCCAAGGTCACACTGCTGGTGGCAGGGCAGGCCCGGGCCCTGGTGTCAGCACTGACCCTTCTGCTGGGAGGGCATGGCTGGACTGGGTCTGAGTGAGGCAAGTGGGATCAGAGGGTCCTGTGCTGGGGGCAAGGGTCCTGGGTTCCAGACTTCCTGGCTGGGCACCTTGGGCAGGTCAAGTCCCTCTCCTAGCCCTGCTGGCCCCATCAGCGGGTCGGACTTCACTGCTCTTACTGAGGGGAGGCCACCCGTGGGAACCTGGGTGAGGGGCTGACGATGGAGGCTGTGGAGTGGAGGTGTTCCACCCAGACCCTCTTGAGGGAGTGAGAGGGGCCGGGCATCCCCTCTGAAACCCCAGGAACTCAGAAAGAGGACAGGGATGGGGAGTGGGCAGCAGGGTGCCCATCTCTGCCCACCCGCCCCACAGGTGGGGTGCTATGGAATATGACGAGAAGCTGGCCCGGTTCCGGCAGGCCCACCTCAACCCCTTCAACAAACAGCTCGGGCCGAGGCAGCATGAGCAGGGGGCTGGTGAGGAGGCCCCGGACATCACTTCTGAAGGTGGGTGCTGGGGGAGGCCTGTGTGGGCAGTCAGCCCCTCACACCGGCCCCTGTCCTCTCTGAGTGGCTCCTCACGTGGAGTGAGCTGTCTGCTTCCCTTTCCTCCACAGCACAGATCACTATCGCCCATTCCGCCCTTGTTAGAATGAACACTTTTGAGGGCAGGGATCTGTGACTGTCTTGTCGCTGCTCTGTCCCAGGGCCCAGCACACAGCAGGTGCTCATTCCAGGAACACTGGGGGCATGAGCTCAGCGCTGAGATCTGGTGGGTGAGAGGTCAGCAGAGGGGGCGCCCTGTGCAGAGGCCCAACTCCCCCAGCTCCCCTGGAGGTCAGGGGGACATGAGCCCCAAGACTGCAGATAGAGCCAGCTGGCTGCTGGGGCCCCCGGGTGTGTGTGCAGGGGCAGCCTGGGGTCCACACAGAGGTTCAGGAATTATTCATGTAGCCCTCCAGTGACCTTTCTTGGAACCATACACACACACACACACAGGAGACGTGTGCCTTAGAAACTGGGTTACTTCCTGTAATACTGTTTTGAAGGCTCTGTCTTGTCTGCACAAGGAGATGTGTTCCTTTGCAGATGCCAACAGGACTGATGCCTGGCTGGGCCATGCTCCCCTCAGCCCTGCTGTGGGCTCCCTGCCTCCCTGGGGGCTGCCTGGCCTCCTCCTGGGGAAAGCAGGCTGACTTTCCTCTCTGTGCCGCCCTCCCCACCTGCACCCGCTCCAGAGGCCCTGCCTGAGCTGCCCCCTGGGGAGCCGGAGTTCTACTGCCCCGAGCGCACGATGGATCTCGGTCTGTCTGAGGACCACTTTGCCCGCCCTGTGGTAAGATTCGGGGCCTGCGGCAGGGAGAGGGGTGAGGGGAGCCCCCAAAGTGCGAGGAGCCAGACATTTCTGTGCCACCCCACCCTTGGGCAGTGGGGCCACATCCTCCTCAGCCGGGGCTCCTGGGCCTTGAGTCCGAGGCGCACATGACACTTGGCTTCCACCCTCAAATCTGTTTGAGTGCCAGGGGTGACAGGCTACACCAGGGGTTTGCACACCTGGGCGGCTATTCTCCCAGAGGGCTGTTCCCCTCACCTAAGCTCCCGGCTTCCTAAGAAGCAAACGTGAGGTGGGGAGGGAAGAGCTCAGTGGTAGAGCACATGCTTGGCATGCATGAGGTCCTGGGTTCAATCCCCAGTGCCTCTTAAAAAAAAAAAAAAAGCAAAAGTGAGAGCTGATTCTATCTGGGGTTCTAGGGAACCCTGTGGACATGCTGCGGGGGGAGGGGGCAGGATGGGGGGGAAAGCCCCCTGCCCCCTCCCATCACCCACCCAGCTAGGCAGGGCTCCCCTTGTCTGCTTTATGTATTTGGTTCCATGGAAATGTTGCTTCTTCTTCTTCTTTTTTTTTTAATAAAAACTATCTCCAACTTTTATTTGAGAGAAACATTATAGTCATATTTAAATACGGCTTAAAAAATACTCACCCAGAGCCCCCAGTTCTAATTTGCTGTTCATTTTATATGCGGCCTTTACGCTTCACGTTTTGCTGGTACAGATATCTATTTCACTTCTGTGTTTTTCGTCTTTATTATGACCTTTCTGAGCCCCTCCTGTGGGCCATGCACTGATCTCCAAGAGGGGTGTCACCTCCTCTTTGCCTGGTCTCTTGGAGCCTCTGTGTGTTGGAAGAGGTTGAATCCTGACAGCAGCGACGTCCCTTTTCTGGGATGTCAGCCCCAGGCCCCAGTTCTGAGACCTGGACTGTCTCCCTTCCCCTGAGTCTAGGGGCTTTTCTGGGGCTGGGGTTGGGTGGGTGCCTGGGGTGTCTCTGAGCTTGGGGATTCAACCAGAGGACACTTCCTATCCTTCCCGACAGACGAGTGTCATTTCCCCTACTTTGAACCAAGAGGAAGCTCTGTCAAAGTAAACAAAATAGCATTGCCAGAAAAGCGGCTGGGTTTCTAAAAGAAGGAAGTGTGTTTTGAAAACTTCCTGAGTTAGGTCTCCAGAAGCCTGTGGGTGGACAGGCCCCGGGAGGGGACGGATAGTGTGGATGGTTTCTGCCTGTGAGCAAGTCCTTGGGCCCCTCTGGGTCATGTGGGTGAGCGAGGGGCAGGGAGGTCTGCCTGGGTCCAGTCACCTATGATGTTGGGCCTGGCCAGTAAGAACAGCATGCAGGGGGCATCTCACTGTCACTGTCCCCTCTTTGCCAACCCCCCGAGCAGGGCCTGTTCCTGGCCTCTGACATCCAGCAGCTGCGGCAGGCCATCCAGGAGTGCAAGCAGGTGATTCTGGAGCTGCCTGAGCACTCAGAGAAGCAGAAGGATGCTGTGGTGAGGCTCATCCACCTGCGGCTGAAGCTCCAGGAGCTGAAGGTGGGTGCTGGCCCCCAGTACACAGGCAGCCTGAGCTGGGCTGGAAGGTGCACACCTGGAGGCCCAGGGCTGCCTCTGGGCTGCGAGGGTGAGGCAGAGCCTACCTAGGAAGGCTGGTTGGGGGAGACGGCCCTCACCCCGAGTATAGGCCGATTCTCTACGAGTCTGACCCTGGCCAGTCCTGGGTTGTGTGTCTGCCCAAGGGCGCAAGTAGGTGCATTAGTCCCCCTGACCCACGTGACCTAGAGTGGGGGCAGTTTCCTAAAGGGTTCCTGAGATGGCAACTGAAGGGGTGGTGGAACTTGGAGGCCAAGAGCCACAGGTGTCCATCATGTTGGCCTTGAGTCAGTGCTGTGTTTGGCTTGGCCGCCACCGTATCCCTGCACTGGTTCATCAGTCCCTGGGAATTTAGAAAGTGGAATATTCATTAGAATATAGGTAAGGCTAATGGAAAAGAACCTAAAAAAAGAATATGTGTGTGTGTATATATATACACACACACACACATATATATACACATATATATGTATATGTACAATTGAATCACTTTGCTATACACCAGAAACTAACACAACATTGAAAATCAACAATACTTCAATAAGAAAAATGAAAAAAGAGTATAGATAAGGCTATGGCACAGGTAAGACACCCCAAAATACAGTGGCTTGAAGAAATTGGATGTATAGTTTCACTCATGTAGAGATGTTGCAGGTGGCCCAGGGCCTAATGGCAGCTAATGGTGTTGGAGACCCCAGGTCCTCTTTTTCTGTTCCCCCTTCAGTCCCTGGAGGGAGTCCAGGATGGCCTACCACCACACTTGGGTTTGCACTTAGCCAGCAAAAGCAATGTGGGAAGGGCAGCCAGGGCCCTGTCATTCCTGCTTATGTGCCATTGGCCCTAACACAGTCCAGGGCAGCACCTAGGTTCAGGCAATGTCGGGGAAGGTCGTCTGTAGTCTGGGTAGTCCCGGCCTGACTGATAACTGGGGTGTTCTGCCATAAAGGGAAGGGACTGTGGCACTGGGGCAAATTCACAACCTCTGCTACAAAGGGTGCCTGCAGAAGTAAATCAAGGGGCTCATGAGACGGAAAGAGAGCTGCCACCCGGCTCACCTGTGACCCACCCCTTGGCCCCTTCCCCAGGACCCCAGTGAAGATGAGCCCAGTATCCGAGTCCTTCTCGAGCACCGCTTCTGCAAGGAGAAGAGCAAGAGCGTCAAGCAGACTTGTGACAAGTGTAACGCCATCATCTGGGGGCTCATTCAGACCTGGTACACCTGCACAGGTGGGCTGAGGCCAGACCTGCTCCTGGGCAGGTGGTCCGGGTCCCCAGGGGAGGGTGGATTCTCTATGGCACTCTTAGTGTCTACGGAGCCCTGTGGGACGAAAGACGCAGACACCTGCCTTCACTGGGCTCACGTCCACACTGCGCTTTCCAGCATGGCAGCCCCTGGCCACATGTGGCTATTCGAATTTAAATTAAATAAAGTAAGTAGCCAGTCCCTCCATTGTACAACCCATATTCCAAGTACTCAGTAACTACATGAGGCTGGTGACTACCATGTTGGACAGTTCAGAGAGGACATTTCTATCACTGCAGAAAATTCCATTGGACGGGCTGTTCTGGAGGAGAAATCAAGTAAATGAAACGGTGTTTTAGACCATATAGTGAAGAAAAATAAGGGAAGGGAAGAGCACGTGACGGGGAGCAGGATGCGTGCTACTTTAGGTGAAATGAACAGGCATCATGCGACGTTAGGCAAAAAGTTGGAGCCTGGGGGCAAACCAGGACTATATCTGGGAAGGAACCTTCCTGCAGGAGAGCTGTGTGTACCAATGCCCTGTGGTCAGTGTCTGTCATGTGTCTTCAGGGAGGAGCAGAAAGCAGTGTGGCTAGCGGGGTGTGGTAGGGATGGGCTGGGAAGTGCACTGGGCGCCCCGGGTGGGTGCAGGAGGTTCTGCTCAGCGAAGCATGGCCTGAAGGATGGAAGATGAGGGACTCTGGTGAGGGTGAGGAACTGGGGATGCGAAGGGGCCAAGTGCGGCACTAGCGAAGGACTGAGAGTGGGTGTGAGAGGGGTCGGGATGAGCTCATGATTTCCGGTCTCAGCAGGTGGAAAGATGGAGTTGCTGGGTTCTGAGACAGGAAGACTCGGGTGGGTTTGGTAAGGAAGAGTCAGGTTCCATTTAGATATCTGGGGTTTGATGCCCTTTGGGCCTCCAGGTGGGAATGGCACACGGGCCCCTAGACTTGAGTCTGGAGTTGAGGGGCAAGGTCTGCGGTTACCATCAGTGCGGAGCTTGGGGTGGGGACTGAGGGTCTCTGAAGTCTCAGGACCCGCAGTGCTGCCTGAAGCAGCTCTTGGATCCGCCCGGGAGTTGGAGTAGAGCCCCTCTGGGGAACCCGCAGTCAGCCTGGGCTGCAGGAGGGACTCCTCTTTCTAAGAGGCGCGTTGTTGGGCCTCTCCCCCTCCCCCAGGGTGTTACTACCGCTGTCACAGCAAGTGCTTGAACCTCATCTCCAAGCCCTGCGTGCGCTCCAAAGTCAGCCACCAAGCCGAGTACGAGCTGAGCATCTGCCCCGAGGCAGGGCTGGATAGCCAGGACTACCGCTGCGCCGAGTGCCGGGCCCCCATCTCTCTGCGTGAGTGCCGTGAGAGGGGCGGGCGCAGGGCACAGAGCCCTGCCAACAGCGGACGAAGAAACTGGATGAGCGTGATGCCTGAGGGTGGCATGACCGGTGTCCCCGCTCCCTTCCCTGGGAAGAGACGAGGGGCTGCTACTGGCACCTTTCCACTTCCCACTGAAGTGGAATGAGGTTCCCACCAGGGTCAACTAGGAGTCTCAGCAGGGCTGGGCTGCACTCAGCCTCCCATGTGTGGCCCCACTGTCCCAGAAATGGGAAAATCTCACAGTAGTCACTTCCATGCTGCGTATCAGGACTTCTTCCTAGAAGTAGACTGATGTCAGCTCCTGGGATGCCCACAGCTGTCCCAGGCAGGAGTCCTATTATTGTTCTATTTTACCGATGAGAAAACAGGAAAGCAAGGCGCCCTGACCTGCTGAGATCCGGCAGCTTAGCAGAGGATGTTGGGTCTGGAGGGTCGAACCCTTGGCCTATCTGGCTCTTTCCCCGCGTGGCCTGGGCGCAGCTGGGGGAAGGGACCTTGCACCACGTGATGCGGCACCCTGAGTGGCTGGGTGGTGTGGCAGGAACCCTGAAGGTATCCCTGACTTTGTAACCACCTGCCCCCTCCGCAGGGGGCGTACCCAGTGAGGCGCGTCAGTGCGACTACACCGGCCAGTACTACTGCAGCCACTGCCACTGGAATGACCTGGCCGTCATCCCAGCTCGCGTGGTGCACAACTGGGACTTCGAGCCGCGCAAGGTGAGGCTGGGAGCGCAGGGGCACGGCCCTGGGGGTCCAGCTCCCGCACCGGCTGACGGCTGGGTGAGGGGGGGCGTGGCCCCGAGGGGGTAGAGCCGGCATGCAGGCCTGCGTGGGGTGGGCAGCGTGGCTCTCCCTGGGCGGGGCTGGGCGCTGGAGGTGCCACGTGTCCGCCCACAGGTGTCCCGCGGCAGCATGCGCTACCTGGCGCTGATGGTGTCGAGGCCGGTGCTCCGGCTCCGGGAGATCAACCCTCTGCTGTTTAACTACGTGGAGGAGCTGGTGGAGATCCGGGTGAGGCCGGGGAGGGGGCGGGTTTGGGGGAACCGAGCTCTCCCCGGGTGTTGCGGGAGCTGAGATGCCACCTGCTTAGGCTTAGCAGGGCCCTGCCGGTCCTTTGGGCTAAAGTTGCTAAAGCAACGTCCAGTCACAAGATGATGCAAGGCTCAGAGGCAATTTTAAATTTTCCAGTAGCCACACTAAAAAAATGAAAAGCAGGTGAAGTTAACTTGAATACATTCTATCCACCCTGCGGATGTGCAGCACCATTGACATACTGTGTGTTCCTCTTCTTTGTTGTCCTTGTCTTTGAATTCCAGTGTTGTACTGCCCACTTTACAGCCATCTCCAGTCTGTGCTCAGGAGCCTGTTTGCCAGGCAGCAGGAGGGTGGGGTGGGGCTGTGGGCAGGTGAGAGAGCCTTAGATGGGGTGATGAGAAGGATTGGCTTTAAAGGGGAGGAGACTGAGGCACAGCACACTATGGCTTGAACTTGCGCTTGGCTGAAGCTGTCAGATCTAGGACTGTCCTGGGGATGTAAAGGCACCTCCTGTCCCCTACTGACACAGAGTGTAAGGTGAGATAAAGTCCTGCAGGGCCAGCCCCCCGGCCACACAGACAGGCCCCAGCACGGCCCCTGCCCCTCTCATCCACAGAAGCTGCGCCAGGACATCTTGCTCATGAAGCCGTATTTCATCACCTGCAGGGAGGCCATGGCAGCGCGTCTGCTCCTGCAGGTCAGACTGCTGGCCGTGGTGGGGGGTCCACAGAGATGGGCAGGTGGGAGACAGAGACCAGGCCATGGCTTGACTTGTGTGTGTTATGCCTGGAGCACAGGGTCCGCACTGTCCCAGGGAACACCTGTGGTAAGCAAACAGGCCTTCCACCCACAGAACTGTCCTCTGGTTACATCGGAGTGACAGACTCTGAGAGGAGCAGGTGTCATGCTGCAGCCTTGGTGTGAGTCTCCATGGAGTGGCCTGCTGGGCCAGCTTGACCATAAAACACACTTTTCAAAGCTCACCTATTTATCTGTTCAACAAGTATTCACTGAGTGCCTGCTGTGGGCAGACACCGTCTGGATGCTGCAGGGCAGTGAAGAGAATAGGCAGGAAGGCTCCTTGTCCTTGGGGTTGGGAAGACAAGAAAAATAAGCAGCAGTGTGTTGGGGGTGGTGAGGTGTGTGGACGAGATACAGCAGGGAAGGGGGCTCAGGGATGGGAGCAGGTGCCTGGCAGAGGTGGGGTGTGCCCGGGGTTTTGGGCACCGCAGAGCAGCTGGCATGGCTGAAGGGCCCTGTGGGGCCCAGGCCCGGCAGCACTGAGGCCAGTCGCTCCTGTGAGCAGCCCAGGGCACACACTGGGCGAGGCGGGGTGTGGGCAGTGGGAGGGCCTTCGCCTAGTCACAGATGCTGGGCCCGCAGCTCCAGGACCGGCAGCACTTTGTGGAGAACGACGAGATGTACTCCGTGCAGGACCTGCTGGACGCACACACGGGCCGCCTGGGCTGCTCGCTGGCAGAGACCCACACGCTCTTCGCCAAGCACATCAAGCTGGACTGCGAGGTAGGCCGCCCACTGCAGACGAGGGCGGGAGGGCAGCGTGCCCAGGGTGCCCAGCCTCAGGGGCCCCGGGAGCAGGCGCTGACCTCCCCCTTGTCCCCAGCGGTGCCAGGCCAAAGGCTTTGTGTGTGAGCTCTGCAGAGAGGGCGATGTGCTGTTCCCCTTCGACAGCCACACGTCTGTGTGCACCGACTGCTCCGCCGTCTTCCACAGGTTGGTATGGCACGACTCCATCTGCAGGCCAAGTGCCGGCCCTCCCTCTGATAGGCACAGGAGAGGGAGAGAGGGAGACATTTGGGTTCCGTCTTTGCCACCTGGTTTTCAAATCCTTTTGCCTGAATCCTGAGATACGGAGTTAGACCCTGATTCCTGAGACTGCACTGAAATTTCTGCTGGGAATGAGCCCCTGTGGGTGAGGGAGGGGTGTCCAGCCCAGACCCCACGTGTGCATGAATCCAGCTCACTCCCCTTCTCCACCAGAACTGAGGTCAAGTGGGTGCCAGAGCTTCCTAAACTCTCTAGTTCTTGTGATTTTTTTCCAAACATCCCTCGGCTAAAAGAAATACCTAACATTTTCGTTTATTAAGTACTTAGGTTAAAACAACTTTAGCATTTGTGTTCTAAAGACTTGAGTGGACGTTTGGAAAAATAGCACACACAAATTGGAAGAAAGATATCTGAGTTCTCTAAGCACAGTTACCAACATATGTGCACCTGCTGGCCCCGCACGACCTGTCACGCTGGACTCGACAAGCCCCCACCACCCCATCATCTGTCCACACTGGGTTTTGCCTGGTACTTGCTGCTCAGCATGGAAACTGCTGACTTCATAGGTCTGCAGAGCTGGGACTCAGTTACAGTAAGGACTGTAGCAAAAACTGATGTTGAAACTGGACTCCCTCGAGCTAGCAGTTTGCCTGGTGTCTGACATGAGTTAAATATTGCTCTGCCCCTTTCAAAAAGTGTAAACCGGCCAGGGGGGCCGTGGGCACCTGCGCAGTGGTCATAACCGGCCGGGAAGCCGAGCTGGGAAGAGCTCTGAGCAGAACCTTGCTTGGCTGATGGCTGCGAGGTGGCGTGTGGACCCTATGCGGAGGCGCCAGGGAAGGTGCCTGGCAGGCACAGCTGGGTGCAGGCCTCCGCTTTCGACTGCTGGCAGAAACCCCTTCGGTTTCCCCGTCTGTAGAGGGGCTACTGGGGCCTGGCTTGGGAAGCCTGTGGAAGGCGCGGGCAGAATTTCGCGTCTGGAGAGCCTGCCCTTCCCGGGCTGACCCTGCCCCCCCGCCCCCAGGGACTGCTACTACGACAACTCCACCACATGCCCGAGGTGCGCCCGCCTCACCCTGCGGAAGCAGTCGCTTTTCCAGCAGCCCGGTCCCGACGCGGATGCCTAGCTACGGAACCCCTCCTGGGCCTGTCTGGTGCCCCTCCTGTTGGTCGCTGGCCAGCTGAGGTGTCTCTTGTGCTCCGGAGGCCCCTGGGGTACTGCCCCTGGACCTCTCCCCGCTGCTGGGCCAGCGCCACAAGGACCGTCTTCCTCCTGGCACTTCCTGGGACTGGGGGTGGCCTTGCCTGGCTGTGAGTGTGCCTGGCCCCCACCCCCACAGGGTTTTTGAGGGGAGGGGAGTGGGAGACAACTTCTTCTCATCCCCCTTTGGCCAAGAGACCCCCACATCCTTGGGGCCAAGGCTGCTGGGCCTTGGGAATCCTGGAGGGCTCTGGGGGAGTGGCTGGCAACCAGTGGTGCCTTGGCCTGAGTTCCACCTGCGGGGGTTGGTTTGGATTCTGCCTGGAGGCTCCCTCTCCCTGGTCCCTTGTCTCTTTGGGGACCTCTGGTTGTCTTCGGCTGGGGCTGTTCACAACCGTCTCCCAAAGGCCCTGCCCAGCCTCCCGAGGTTCTCTCTCAGGGTCCTCCTCGGCAGGGCTGGTCCAGCAGTTATCGGCTCTTCCTATACAACACGGAAGGAAGGGGCCGTTGAGCTGTTACCCCTGGGTGGACCGGCCACTGCCCCCAACTTGTCCCAGCCCAGTTGACCCTGGTGCTCCAAGCTGGGTGGCTGGGGGTCCCACCCAAAGCAGCTGCCCTGCTTCCAGGTGTGGAGCAGGGACTGGGCCCCCGGGGTCAGGGTGGAGGGTAAGGTTCGGCAAACGGGTTGGTTGTAGCAGGTCCGGGAGGCGTTTCTCGGGATCAGGTTTGCCTGAGGAGCTCCACCCTGCTGCCACGGTGCCTGTAGGGGCTCCAGAGGACTCAGAGACCCCCAAACAGGGGCCTTTTGTTTGGAGTCCTGAGATCAGGCAAGAAGCCTTGTACATGGGGCATAGAGTGTGCAAGGCCCTGCCTCCAGCTGACAGAGGGACCCCGAGACGGAGGACTGTCCCACAGATACCTAGTGGGGGAGCTGCGTTTGGTAGGGATGCTTTTTGCTTTGGACACCCTGCCGTCCAGGGAAGGCTCAGAGGAAGAGGACGTTTCAGGACACGGCTCCCCAGTCTCTCCTGCCCTTCTCCTTGCTCTGGATGGTGCCTGGCTGTCAGCGCCCATGGCTGACACACACAGGTGGGGGCCACTTGGCTTTTAACTGGGAAGCCCAAGAGGAGAGGCTTGGCCAGCAAAAAGACCAGCTTAGCTCACTGGCTGATACGAGAGGGTGGGCAAATACAGCACCATCCCCCCCCCCCCGCCCTTGCCCCTCTGCACCACCGGGAAAACCCTACACTGTGGCTTAAGGCAGTCCCCTTGCTGTCTGTCCCGATCTGCCTCAGCACAGCCTCGCTGTGTCACAGTGAGAAGCAAACCTGCTCCCCCTTCCTCTCGGGTTGAAGAGGGAGTGAAAGGCAAGATGCCCTTTCCCTGCACCCCTAGATCTGCACATCTCTCACTGCTGTCGTAGGGATAGTGGTTATTCCTGAATTTACTGTATAATCAACACCATATTGTTCCAGCTGCAATCACTGTGTCCATAAGAAATGTTAGGATGCTGGCATTTGCGGGACGAAGCTGGCCCTTATTTTGTTTTAACCACCCCCACATTACCTCCTCCCCCAATACCTCTTTTCCACCTAACCCTTCTGGATGACAAATTCTTTAAACAGACTCACGTGTGGGTCGTTCTGAGTCCACACCATGGTAGCAAGAACCCACCAAGGGGAGAGCAGGAGGCTCACCCAGCTGTACCAGAGTTGCAGCTGCTGTCTCATTAAATCTGTGTTCTCCAGACTGTGGTGTGTGTGGTGAATCGGGGACAAGGCAGGGTTCGCTGACACACAAAGCAACTGAAGGTTTAATGAAAGCCCACAGCCTTCCCCATCCAGAGGGGTCAAATATCTGGTTTGGGAAGCCCCATATATGTGGGTGTCAGATCTGGGCCTGCGGGTGCTGACTACTCCCAACCTCCAATTCCTCTGTACAATGCACTAAAACACATCCTTTGAGGGGTTGTTTGGCTTCCAGGAAGCACTGAGCCCAGCCTGAACAAAGAATGCTCAGTAAATAGAAGCTGTCTTCTTTCCAGAATCCTCCTGGTGGAAAGACTGTCTTGTTAACCCAAAGTAAGCGATGATAGGGTAGCCGGTCACGCAGACCACAGGTTCAGCTCCCGGAAGCCTCTTTTGTCTTTGAAAGTTAGACCATTGAAAGGGCCCTCACTGCAACTCAGACCCCCTCCCACTGCCCTGGGGACTTCAGGAGAGCCACATACCCCTCCCAAATTACATTCAAACCTCTGAGTGAATACATTTTCCCATGGGGATGGGAGTCTATAGTTTTGACCAGGCTCTCAAAGAAAATGTCAGGAATGTGCTTTAAGAAGGTGTCTGTAGACATCACCCGCAACCAGGCTAAGAAAGCCAGAGAGCCCAGGGGGCACAGGCACAAGGGTGGGAGGAAAGGTGTCTGCCGTCGGTGGGCCGGTGCTGGCACACGTGAGCACACGCCTCCAACTACAAATCTCTAGAGCTACGTTTCGATAGCAGGTGGACGATGCAGTCTCCACCCACCCCTGCAGGTTATGAAACAGCCGTTTCTTACAACCTTTTAATTTTAACAAATGTAGCTTTGCCGGAGTGTTGCAAACACATTCCCACGTACCCGTCTCCTGGATTCTCTAAATGTTTGCATTTCGCCCCATTCCACATAGTTCCTTTATGGAGCTGTCTGGCGCTCTCTGTGTATCCCTCCCAGACAAGGACATTACCTTATAGGGCTGCACTGCGGCCATAATGTCGGGTTAGCATCAATCCGGTACCAAAAACCTACATCAGACCTTGTTCAGTTTGCCATTCACTGCATTGTCTTCAGCCTTTAACCCGCGAAGGTAGGTGACCCTCACACAAGCACAGGCTGGTTATTTTGAAGACTGTCCTTCAGTGTGGGATTTCCTGATGGCATTCAAGCTTTGCACTTTCAGCAGGACCTTCACAGAAGTGATGCTCTTCAGCGTGCCCTCTGTCCCCTTCCTGGAGACGCTGTGACCCGCCTGTCTCCTGTGCCCTTCTGACACGTTCTGGTCTTTTGTTAGGCACTTGCTTAGTCTAGCGCAGCAAGGCGTTCCAGGCTTACTCTGTAATTTCCTCAGTCCCAGCCCTGAGACCAGTCATTTCTCCAAGGAGCCCTAGTACCTCCTGGAGTTCACCCTGACACTCAGAATTTCAAAAGAAGGTTCATTCTTTCCCTTTTTCATATTTGGAATTTCCTTGCTTATGCTGAGAAACCTGGCTCCATTATCCATAACGTACTTGTTTGCTCAGTCTGGAGCAGAGTGCCTTCGGCATTGCTGACCTGTGCCAGTGGACAACCACTGACTAGCGTTTACTATGTGTTTACAGTTCTTTTTTGTCTTTACCTGAGGGCACACAGTCAAAATGCACTGGGGGTGTTTCTCCCCTTCATTGTGGGTGTGTAACTCATGTGAAATATGTTCTGTTTGTATATTCCATTGTATTTCCCTGTCCTTGTTTACTTCTGTTTGTGCAATACAGTGACGTGGTTCCCAAAGTCAGAACTTTTTATAAGTTTTCTTATAAAAAAAACTTCACGATAGTCAGGTGTCACCCCTACCCTGCAACCCATCTCTTTCGTCTTTGATTTCTCCTTCCCATGTTTCTTTTTGTACAAATGACTAAGATACCTGTATATTTTCTTACTTCTCCTTCTTCCACAGAACATTTTATGTGTGGCCATTTTTCAATCAACAGATTTGGAAACTGCTCCATATCAACTGAGTTCTTTCTTATTCTGTCATTACCGCAGTCATCATCATTTATGTCTGCATTATATTCCATTGTGTGGAGCTGCCGTTTCACGTTTGACTACTGCATGAGACTAGCAGGCTGTCTTTTGCAGTCACAAACGAGGCTGCAACAAATAATCTGTGCTTATATATTTTCTTTTGTTGGAGGTGTATCATCAGGGAAAATCCTAAAATCGGGATTGCTAAATCCTACAAAATCCATTTTTTATTAGTGTTTGATGCACGTCCATAAGAGATGTACCAATTTGCTTTCCCACCAGTAATGAATGAGGGTACCTGATACCCCACCAGCAGTATGTGTATTCATACTCTTTGATTATTTGATTAATGAAAAGTGGTATCTGTGTAGCTTTAATTTGCATTTCTCTGACTGACTGAGGTCAAACTTAGGCTTCGAGATCTAACTTATTTATGAATTACATCTTCACTCCACTTTTCTATTAGATTTTTGGTATTTATTTTCCTTTCAGTCTTTAAGAATTCTTCATGTATCAGCGATATTAGCCCATTGCCTGTGAGATATTTTCTTCCTGGTGTCAGTTGCCTTGTTTGTAGTATCTTATTCTCATGGAAATGTTTTGTTCTGTTATATTTTCATATGGTCAAATTGATTCATCTTTTAAAATTTCATCTGGATTTTGAGTCATAGAAAGTCTTCCTCCACACCTGTGTCAAACAGGACAGGCATTCGTGTGTGTGTTCTGCAGTACTTGTTGGGTGTCAGTTTTTACATTCAGACCCCTCATCTGTTTCTTTATTCTTGTGTGTGCTGTGAGATATGAATTAACTGTTTCCAAATTTTAACCAGTTATCCTGCACTATTAAAAAAAAAGCCTATCTGTATCTATCTCTGGACTTGCTGTTTTACTCTACAGATCGAAATACTACACAGACTTAATCACAGACGCTTCATGGTGTGTTTTAATGTCCAGCAGGGCTAGTCTCCTCATAGTTTGCTTTAAATAACTTTTCCTCGGTATTCTTTTATGCAACCTTTTTCGAGCACATATTTAAGTAAAATTTTTATGACAAAAGTTGATGCTCTCAAGTGTCAAAATGAAAATACCAGAAACAGGGTTTCCAGGGATGTTACAGATCTGGGAGCGGAGGCGTGGCTGGCCTCACCCACCGAGGTCACAGGCCCTGAAGACAGACTAGGACAGCTGCTGCTTTGAGCGCCGCTCTTTCTCACTGTGCAGCTCCCTGTAGCAGGTGATTGCATCACTGACTGCTCTTGAAACTTGCAGCGTCCACTCATCACCGGGGCTTCCACTGGTGAGGACCTGCAGGCCCGCCTCGAAATGTGACAAGGCGGCCGACAGCTCTGTGGTGGTCAGCTGACGCAGGACAGGGGCAGCATCGTCACTGTCCTCCTCTCTTGCCGGCTGCTGTTCCAGCTGCATCAGCTCCTCATTCGAGAGATCTTCCTCATGGGAGCACAGCAGCTGGTCCACCGCAGCTCCCAGCACCTCTCCAAGAGCCACATTCTGGGCAAGGGTCACAATATTTTGTCGAAGTTGTGCAATGTTGTCTGTTTGGGAAACACTCTGGAACTGAACACACTCTGGCCAAATCTTCTTCCACACGCTATTCATTGTTGCCGGTCTGAGCTCCTCCCAAGCTACTGCAATGTTGTCCACAGCATCCATGATGTTGTAGTTTCTCCAAAACTCCCTGATTATAGCTGTATCCTCCCCATCTGTGGCTTCTAGGATGTGCTCAAAAGTCCTTCTCAGGTAATGAGCTTTGAAGGCAGAGGCTACACCTTGACCCATGGGCTGGATCAGGTCAGCTGTACTGTCATGAAGATATTCCACTCTCACGTTATCAGACAGATCGCTCAAATTTACTGGGTGGCACGGTGCACTGTCTAAGATGAGCAGTGCTTTGTTAGTGAGATTATTTTGGGCACAGTATTTTTCAACTGCAGGGCAAAAAAAGTACGTAAACCATTCATGAAAGATGCTCCTGGTTGCCCAGGCCTTTTTGTTTGACCGCCAAATTACTGGCAGATTGGGCTTGGAGTACCCCTTCAGAGCCTTGGGGTTTTCTGAGTGGTACACCAGTAAGGGCTTCAACTTGAAGTCCCCAGCTGCGTTGCCACCGAGCAGCAGCATCAGGCGTTCTCTGCATGACTTAAAGCCTGGCTCAGCTTTCTCTTCTACTGAAAGGAACGTTCCTTCAGGCATTCTTTTCCAATACAGACCTGTCTCATCTACATTAAAAACTTGCTGGGGGGTGTACTCACCTTCTTGGATAATGCTTTTCAGTATTTCTGGATAGATATCCTTGTTGCCAGCGGCTGTGAGGTTCGTCTTGAAGTGAGGCAAACAATGGCGCTCCTTGAATCTCACAAACCACCCTTTACTTGCACTAAACTTCTCTGTTTGAGAGCTTTCACCCTGTTCACGCTGCAAGTCATCAAACAAACTCTTAGCCTTCTCCTGAATAACTGCGACACTCACGGGCACGTTTCGCTGGCTCTGGTCTTCAAGCCACACACGCAATAGGCGCTCCATGGTCTCCATGATTGCACTTCGGTGGCGAGTCAATCGAGAGGCTCTCAAGGGAGTAGCTATTTGTGAACTCGCTTTGATTTTCTCTTTATTATCTCGGATCGTTGCCACTGTGGAGACAGCGAGGCCTAAGGTCTTTGCAATTTGGCTGAGCTTTTCACCCACTTCAAATCGTCTTAACACTTCTAATTTTATGTCGAGCGTAATTGCCTTCCGTTCCCTTTTGGCACTCGGGGTGACCATTGCATTTAGGGGCCTTTTCCTAGGCATCTCTGCCTCCAAAATGTACTGAAATGACAGCAGTCCCCGGTGCAAGAAAGCCTGTGGTTCCTCTATGCTCCCTTGCAGAACTAGGGAAAGCGAAAATGGGGCTTCGAGGAGGCGCAGGCTGACGTCCTCGGACACGGGAAAGGGTCACCACAGGCCTGCCTAGCCACGCTGCCCAGAAACAGAGCAGTTCATTCTGCCCTGGGCAGTGTGGGCCTCCAGTATCAATCAGTGTCCGAATTCCTGGAAAGCAGGCACATCTAAACTGGCGTGTGCCTCCGTGATGCAGAACACAGAAATCCGTGCAAAAGAATAGCGCCGCCGGGCGGCGCACGGCGCACAGGCTCCCAGGTCCCGGAGGGAGCTCAGGAAAGCACGCCAGCGCGCCGCCGCCGGCCTTCGCTTTGTGAGCCGCTTCCCAGGGAGGACCCCAGAAATGGGTGTTCTTGGAGATGCCCGATTTAAAATAAGTCTCGGGCCGCTGGCCATCCTCTTAGCGCCTCGCTCGAGCCGGCCACTGGGGTTCCGGCGCCCAGCTGTCTGGGCAGGGCAAGCAGCGCTCACGTTCGTATCCTAACGAGTCGGGCAATAGAGTAGACACCTAACGAGAGGCCCCGGGAGCGCGCCCTGTCCTTACTGCGCACGCGTGAGGCTTCGCCGAGGTCGGCGCGGGGGCGTGGCGCCTTATGACCTATTTGCCGCAATACTGCGCCTGCGCGCGCCCGAGCGGCGCGAGGTCAGGGGTGGAAATGTTGCAGTGGCTGGCGGCATGTCG